ATTATAGTAAAGGAGACCAAACTCGAGGATGTTAACAATGATGGAATAAGATGTAATTTATATGAGGCACGTCAAAGTCCTCAAATAGATGAGGACGAAGTGAATGAATTAAAGAGAATTAACCCTACAATGGAATAATTTGGATATATCAACAAAGTTGAAGTGGTAAATTGGCCACCGTAACGACTCCAAAAGCTGACGTTTCGAGCGTTAGGCCTTCGTCGGAGCGAAGGGCTAACGACGAAGGGCTAACGCTCGAAACGTCAGCTTTTGGAATCGTTACGGTGGCCAATTGACCACTTCAACTTTGTTGATATATCCAGATTATTTCGTTACTCCCACCGACGCAGCCCCAAACAGTTTCTTTCGAAGCTATCAGCCTTAACCCTACAATGGCTCTTGCTAAATTAAACTCAAACCAACCTAGTACTTTAGTTGACACAAAGTTTGATCAAGCTGCTAAAGGGTCATTCCTAAGTTATCAGGCTTCTTATACAGAATCTAACTTTGTTGTTACAATGGAAATATCAAGTATTGAAAGGAGCAATAACACTAATCCTATTGAAGTTTATCCACGATCTCCTCTTATTGACCTAGATGAAAACAATCACCATGATATTACTGACAATCAACAAATATTGATTGAATCTCTGTCATTATCTGAAGATGAAATAAATTAAGTGTAACTGAAAACTAGAGGACAAGCAAATTGTGAATTGTGGAAATCTGAACGAAAGTATAGATTTACTGCTTCAAGGTTTCATCTCATTTCACACTATAAAAGGAATCATGGCACATTTGCAAACAATTTAATGCATCCAACAGAAGCAAAATCAGTATACACACCACACGGAATTAAATATGAAAGCACAGCAATAAATGAGTATTTGAAATACATGAATAGTATCAAGAAACCAATAGAAGTGTACAAATGTAGCTTTGTTGTTACGGAATGCATATTGGGGTGCTCTACTGATGGTAATGTCATTGATTCTGGAGCGTCTGAACCTTTTGGAATCATCGAAGTGAAGTGCCCGCAAACAAAGTTCCTTGTTACACCCACAGATGCTTGTTATGATGAAAAATTCTGTTGTACTCTAAGAAATGGACGATGTAAATTAAAGGAAAGTCACCCATACTATGCTCAAGTATAGGGCCAAATGGCCTTAACAGGATGTAAATTGTGTGATTTTGTGGTATACACAAAGAAAGGGCTGTCCATCAAGAGAATTCCTTTTAACTCTGATTATTGGAAAGACCTTGAGGATGAGCTTGTAACCTATTATTATAGAAATTTTATCAACTTTGCTGTAGAGGATCTCTTAAGGAATTAAAAATCAATGCCCAATATTACTGTGAAATGATCACAATTAAAACAACAGAAAAAGAAATTAAAGTGCACACATTCTACCAAATACTAAATTAAATTAAATGAAATGGTGCCTTAGCATTGCTAAACTCGATAAAAAAATTATATTGCTTGCAAAATAGATTGATTATACAAAATAATGGCAAATTATCTGTCTTTATAGTGACAATATTGGATTCTGAAGATTACACAAAAATGCACTTACTGCCCACATTTGATTTACAACTGGAAATAAGGACAGAGGAATATACCTATTCCAAATATGAAAATTTTTGATTTTATTGATAGCACGCTTGACATGTATACGGAGGCTAGCAATTTACTGTGTCTTAACAACTTGATCAGGTGACATCTGTTCATCTCCTCCTAAGAATGGTGGAATGTTCAGAGAAACACCGAGTGGGTAGAATGTCATCAACTGTGAATCCCTTGTCTGCCATCACACTGTCGTTCTCATTGAAGGGAAGATCAAGAAAACCAGACCTCTCCACTATTGATCTATCAGAAATGCAGCCGGTGTACAGCTGGCTAATGTATGTGATAGCTCTGTAGGGAGAAATACCGACCAGTCCTTTCAGCATAGTGTTGTTTTTGTATGAACTGAATAGCTGGCTATTCAAAAGCAAACTGCTGGGCATCTGGCATTTCATTTCAGTGCAGTCTGCTATTACTCTTGTGGTTGGGTATTTTGCCTTGAAACCGTCAGGCATTGTAGCATCAACTTCCTTTCGTGAAGGCCAAATGTTGATAACACCAAAACGTAGATACATAAAGTTCATCCATGAAGTAAAAATACGGCCGACAGTGGTATCTGAGATGCCAATTAATGATCCGAAATGCTTTACGGGCATAGCTTGTTGTAGTCTGATCATCGTTAACAGAAATTCTTCTTTTGGCTTGAGTAGTCGTGGTCGTCTATGGCGTTTCGTTGCGGACAAAAATATGTCTAAAAAAAAGAATTGACTTACTTGGAGAAATAAACAGTGAGATTAAAAATGTGTGGTCGAATAAATAAAACTTTACTTCAAATAAAAAAAAATGGTCCACGACAATAAAAAAGGTGATTTTAGGTTTAAAAATTGACGAGAAAATATGGCCAACGAAAAAGTGCAGTGGAGCGGAAAAATTAACACCGAAAAAAAAAGAAACTAGTCGAGTAGAAACGGAAACTGTTTGACTCTTTAACCGGGTGTAACAGGGTATATCCTTATATGGTATCACAGGAAGTGGTGCTATTAGCATACGGGAATGTGAGAATTTCTTCGCGTGTGAAATTCCCTTGTGAGGATTTCCAGAAGCTGCAAACATGGCAGGTAATAACGTGCAGTCTGCTGGCTCTGTTCACGAAATTGTCAACGCGGTGATCAGTAACTTGAGCCACTTGCCCCGACAAGAAAATGGACTTCAAATAGCAACTTCAAATGCTGACACTGGAAACGAGGTGTCAGCGACTTCTGAACTAAACCGGGCATTCCGAATACCCCGTGCATCGTCGACAAGGGCGACCGTGCAAGCCATTTTGCCGTCAACAGTGGCATCTATAAGGGCTGCTGAGGATAATTTTTTAGCGAATTCAAATTACGTACGATGCACGGGGTATTCGGAATGCCCGGTTTAGTTCAGAAGTCACTCACACCTCGTTTCCAGTGTCAGCATTTGAAGTTGCTATTTGAAGTCCATATTCTTGTCGCGGCAAGTGGCTCAAGTTGCTGATCTCCGCGTTGAAAAATTCGTGAACAGAACTAGCAGACTGCACGTTATTACCTGCCATGTTTGCAGCTTAAGGAAATCTTCACAAGGGAACTTCCCATGCGAAGAAATTCTCACATTCCCGTATGCTACTAGCACCACTTCCTGTGATACCATAAACGGATATACCCTGTTACATCCGGTTAAAAAGTCAATCAGTTTCCGCTTGCCCTCGACTAGTTTTTTCCATGTTAATTTTTCCGCTCCAATGCACTTTTTCGTCAGCCATATTTTCTCGTCAATTTTGAAACCTAAAACCAAAGTTTTTATTGCCGGGGACCCTTTTTCTTTATTTGAAGTAAAGTTTTATTTATTCGACCACACATTTTTAATCTCACTGTTTATTTCTCCAAGTAAGTCAATTCTTTTTTTTAGACTTATTTTAGTCCGCAACGAAACGCCATAGTCGTCAACGTTTGTTTCGCGTCCCGGCATTCGGTTGGCTGGCATGAAATTCTTCGCCGAGATTTTGTTCTTTTGAAAGATAGTATTAAATATTTTCGCCTTTTTCCCCAGAATTCAAGTACTTAAATACTTTTTCAAATACATGGATGTCTGGAAAACCAGTGTAGAAGCAAATAGACTCATCATCATCGATGTTCTCTAAACACAAAACACGTAACTTCAGCTTTGAATACTCATTCTTAACCTCAGCATTCTCTTTCATTAGACGCTTCACTTCACTCAATGCATCGTCTTTTTCTTTTGACAAAGTAGCAGTTTTATCCTCTGTTTCTTTTGATTGTTCCTTTAATCTATTAATTTGTTCTGTATATGTTTCTGGGAAGGTTTCTGTGTTCACAATCGTATCAGGTTCACCTTGATCAAGAACGAGCGGCGGGATAGGTGTTACTTCGTTCTCTTCTACGCAGCTACTTGAGTCAACATCTAACTTTGTCCTCGCTCGCTTGTTCATAACTGAATCTGTCCGAGGAGAGGGCGCAGGTCATTTTCTTGGTGATGTACGCCAGCTGAACTTTGTAGGGAATACTTCGTTTCTTTTTTTTAATGACATTTTCCCGCCGTATCCTTGCTTGATCTCACTGTGATCAAAGTAAGAGCATACCTTAGCATTCTCGTTTAAATTGAAATTTTTTTCCCGGATCTCGTCTTATCTTTGTTAGCCAAACCTTCTTAAACGACGCTTCTTTGGGAAAGCTAAAGAAGCCAAATTTTTCTCCGTTTGGACCAGTAGTTCCCTTCTGAGTGCAAAGAGGAACACAGCAATATATACTCGATCGCGAAGCCATGTTTATTTTGACAGTAAGCATCCTAAAATACCTCGCTTTGATGCTCGTCCCATTCTCCCTTTAAGCGGCAGAAATTTTAATGAGATCGGTGTATATGAACGCGACTTTTGTGATGGCGAAAGTTACCATAAAAACAAATGATTTAAACTGCAATTAGTGGAATAAGATATAAGCGATTTCATTTACGAAATGAACTCATCATTTGTATCATAGCGTTCGGCAAAATTAATTGCAAATGCGTCCATTGGTGCCTTGCAACATAAATTGCTGTTTGTAATATACTCTGAAAGCGGACATTTGTTATGCAGCAAATGAATATTACGAGTTTTCTCGAGTATATCCAGTCCCTCAAGCGTTGTTATATCAATTTGAAAAAGAGCCATTATAAAATATAGTTAGAGACCCATCAACATTGCCTTGATTGACCATGTTAGCTAACCGCGAAAAGGGAAACATACACGATAGGGTTTACGAGTAAATTTTCTTGAACACGTTTATTTTTGTTACCCATGCATGAAATAGAAAATTTCAATTTAACTGTTAAAGCCTATAGAGTTCAGTAATATTATTTAAATATGAAAAAAAACTGATTAACTTTTCCTTTTCTTTCATGTTTTATCTGCACCAATCAGCTAACCGTAAGTACTTAAGTCTAGATCTATTTTGTGTCATCTCCTTGTCATATTACTAGGAGAGCAACATTCAAGTAAAGCCCTATGTACTGTGGTAATAGCGAGGCTGTATGGGAAAATAGAGTCAAAACAACTGATCAAACATGTTTACTGATTTAATTCTTTTTTTTTCGTATACATCTACTAAGCCATTCTGTGAAGACAGCTGAAGTTCATGAATATTCATGTTATCAATATTAGTACATTGTCAAGTCCTCATCTTTCCTTATTGGGTCTCATCCCTCTGTGATGTCCAAACGCATGCATTTTTTTTTTTTTTTTTGGTTAAATACCTCGCTTCTCTTTTGGGCTAAATGTTCTAATGTAAGATTTGGTAGAAAGAGCTATGGTAATTCATCTGTCAATCAACATAAAAGGTCTCATTGTTTCATAACAATGGTGGTCTGTCTGCATATTGGTTGAAATTTGTTGAGAATTGTCGCAAGCCCCATAACCCTGGAGATGGAAAAAAAAATCAAATAAAAAACTGTGCCACAATTTTGATCTATATTGGGTCGTATTCACTCTGACTACCCACAGTGTTTTGTTTTTCATCGCCGACTTGTGTGCCCAAGCGCCCGCCCAGTGTAAACTGTTTCTTAGAAATATAACTCTAAAAATGGCGTCAAATTTTAGTAAGAAATTTTTGATATTTCAAAAAAGTTGGTTAAAAATTACAGATGGAACGTTTGCCTGTAGTATGAGAAAATGGGTGTCCTGACACAGTTTCCATGTTTTTGCCCCTTCTTACCTCCCAACTAGGCTAAACTTGGGGATACCCGGCCACTTAATATGCGTCTTTAAATGGCTGCTACCGCAGTCCCGTAGTCGCCAAATTAAATAGAACCCACACATTCATTGACATATTCTTCGTTCTTCAGTCAACCGTAATTCAAACCAATTAAAAGTCATATCTTAATTCCTCGTTCTTCAAATCGGATACCCCTACGGATTTCGACTTCGCTAGCGAGCGAACTTACAGATTGAAATATGTAATCCTAATTCGTCCTTAAATCGGGAGTGCGGGACTGCAGAAGAACTAGTTCAACTGCCATGTCTTTTAATTATTCTTCCTCATCGGGAGCGCGGGACTGCGAGAGTTTAACGACCTCTCTTTTAATTATTCTTCGACTACGAGAGCACGGGACTACGAATGCACTAGCTTAACTGCCCTCTTTTCTAATTATTCTTCGACTTCAGGAGCACGGGTCTGTGGAAGTACTACTTTAACTGCCTTCTCTTTGAATTATTTTTCGACTTCAGGAGCAGAGAATCGATTGATTTGTTAACGTTCAAAACTGGCCGGGTTTATTACCGAGATAGCTCCCAAATATCCCTACGTTGACCCCCAACTCGATGATTGAGGCTGTTGGCACGAAAATTTTGATTACTTTGTTTGGCCTCAACTGAGTGCCTATTTCATACGCTTGTTCCTGTTGAACAATGCAGTGGTTTACTCTTGTTAGTGGTTAATACGGTGGTATCGTGATCTTGGGAATTTTGTGTTTGACCTTGGGATCTGGGTATTTAAGGAAAAGTTCCAAAGGTACCTATAAATGACGTACAAAAGCAGAAATGAGTATGGCAGAGAGTTTGGGTGAGAAAAATTCATCTAACTATTGCATAGAGATGAGTTAACTGAAAAATATAGATTTGTAAAAAAAAATTCTAAAATCTGACTAGATTGATTTGATTTTAAAACAGGACAAAAGATTGGTTGAATTAAAAGTAAAACCAATTCCAATGCCAAGACCACAAAAATCTGTTAAGCAAATGGTTCAAGAATAAGAGAAAAAGAATATGGTACCTCCCATTCCAAAACCTTAGAACTATTAAAAATGTTTCACCTGTTCCAACACCTAGAACTAATATTACATTAAAGGATATAGCACTAAGGGAATTTACTAAATCATTTAAAATCAGTATTCGTAGTAACAATAATGCTCTGAAACAGTTGAAAGAAACAAGTACTTTTTGGAAAATGAAGGGTGGTGAAGATGAATTTCAAAGTGCATTTTTTAATTCATATTCAATAACTGTGATTAATGAGGCTTATCTTGAGAGGGATCTTAAAAGTTCAAGCTCTGAACTTCTTAATAGAATTGGTAATTGGATTTCTAAAGGATCTGGATGGACAATAGATAGAGTTGATCAACATTTTATAAATATTATTAAATAACGGCTAATGAACGGGTCTTCATATATGCAACTTCCAAGAGAATTAGTACTTACAAAGAGTTTGATAAAATAATATGAAGAATGAAAATAATGAATGTTTTAGAAGGTGCCATGTGAGGCATCTCAATCGGCAGCAGAGACTAATCCACAAAGACTCAGAAAGACAGACAAATAGTTTGTTGATGAATTGGATTACTCAGGTGTTGATTTTCAAGTTTCACTGAAACATTACAATAATAAGATTGAAAAACCGAATTACATCAGAATTGATGTTTTCGGTTATGAAAATAAGGCGTTTTGCCCTCTATATCTTTTAAATGAAACATTTGAGAATGAAATGAGCCTACTTATAATTGAGAAGTTATGATAACAAGAGCCATTATGTATTGATAAAAGATTTGAACGAGATGATGAGGCATAAAACCAAGCATAATGAGGAGATACTTGGTAGTGAAGATATATTAAGTAAACATATGGAGATTGTATTGCTATAAATGGAAAGCAAAATATAAAAATGCCAGAAAAGGGTGAAAAAGTTTTCTTTAAGTCTATACAGACAGATTCCACTTCCATTTTGCATTTATGCTGATTTTGAGGCCACACACAGA